CCTTCGGGCAGGTGAGCTAACAATATATTGTCAGATACATAGAAAACACTTACCTTCCTGAGGTCCCCTCCAGAACAATACTCCATAGCTAGCAATGGCAGTTCATTTTCTTTCACATCCAAAGCTGGTGGCACTTCTCGTGCAGAAATCACATTTGGATGATCAAGGCGTTTCATAATATCTACTTCCAAAGACCATCGCTGACGATGCTTGTCAGTCATCTCATTTTGAACTCTACATCGTTTGATAGCAACTGCTTCATTTGTTTCCTAAAATTAGAACCACTACAATCAAGCATGCATTACAAGAACCAAACAAGAATTGTTTAAGGGTTGACAATCAACAGTGATGATGATGGGCTAACAAAAATAGCAGCTGGAGAGGTTTTGATAAGACTACTGGTTTTCATTTACAGAGGTAACTATCATTGGTGTCAACATTTGAAACCTTTCATAATGGAAATCTCAATTTTGCTTTTTAAATGATGCAGAAAATTTGCGAAAAAAATGTCTGCATCTCAATTTTGCTTTTTAAATAATGCAGGAAATTTGTGAAAAAAAATGTCTGCAACAATCATTTCACCCTTTTTATGTTCAACAACAAAATCGCTTTTATCCTTCCTATGACATCAATTAACACACAATGCATGCGTAGCAACTGCAAGTAATTTGACACCCGGATATATATTTTAACTTCTTGTCAGCTTCGAAATGAATGAGAATTTTTGAAGGAGTTTCATAAATATTAGTTAAATTGAGGAAAATCTCCGTCCTAATTATATATAATGAGAGTGGTTCACAGCTATGATCTCCAACTTCTATTCATCTGCACTTTATGATACATAATTTCTAAGAGTGGGGCAAATCAGAGAGGGTTTGCACATTAAGTAGTTAAAACAAAGATCTGTGACCTACAGCTGTCTAGTTTTTATATAAACACACATCATTAACCTATAACATTGACTCAAGACTGAAAAATGAAATATACCTCATTTTTCCACAGAACTACAGTACCAAACCCTCCAGAACCAAGGGTTTTATCTTCCTTCCAGCCATCCACAGTCGGTTTAGTATTGCCCTGTTGTATCATTGTACTGTCTGAAATAAGTATACATTTTGTTAATAGTAGATAATATAATCTGCTGTTATTTCTCATGATTATTCTTCTATTCTTACAAGTCAACACAGAATTTGTAAGTATACCATAACCATGGACAGAACAAGCAATTTGAGTTGCTCCACTCAACAGCTGACCTGAGTATCCTAACTCTTCATCTTAACACAGAAAACATTTTTTCAGCTCACTCTGTATGACAGCAAAAATAATGTCCCATCTAACCGGCAGACAAAATGTTTGCCTCGCTAACTCAGCAAATCTTGAAATAAGCAGATTTTTTTTTTAGTTAAAGATGAAATACTTTTTTTAATACGAAAATAATGGATGCAGGCTGTGAGCCTCTATATTCA